ACACAGTGTGTGTGTGTGTGTGTGTGTGTGTGTGTGTGTGTGTGCTTCCAGGACATAGTACCCAGATAACTTCTAGAGCCAAGTAATACATACCACTGTCCTATTGTCACGTGGGAAGGTTGTTGTTGGCTGGGTTTTTTGTTTGTTTATTTTGTTTCATTTTTTATTCTTTGCTCTTCTGTGGGCCTTCCACCAAGCTCCCAAATAATCACACATGGAGACTTTTTCTTACTTATGAATGCCCGCCCTTAGCTTAGCTTCTTTCTTCCAGGTTCTCTTAAATTATCCCATCTATGTTTTGCCTTTGGGCTTTTATCTTTCTTGACTGCCCTATTACTTTTCCTTACTTCTTATGCCATGTCTGGCTATGTGGCTGGGTGGCTGGCCCCTTATTTTCTTGCTACTTGATCTCTCCTCCCAGATTTCTCCTACTTATTCCCTGTGCCTGCCAGCCCCACCTCTCCTTTCTCCTGCCTAGCTATTGGCCATTCACCTAGTTATTAGACCAATCAGGTGTTTTAGACAGGCAAAGTAACACAGCTTCACAGAGTTAAACAAATGCAACATAAAATATCACACATCTTTGCATCATTAAACAAATGTTCCACAGCATAAACAAATTTAACATATCTTAAAATAATATTCTACAACAGCGGACAATCATTTACTTTACAGAAGTCTCTGTCTCTCTGTCTCTCTCTGTGTCTCTGGCTCTTGCTCTCTCTCTCTCTGTTTGTCTGTCTCTGTCTTGTGTGTGTGTGTGTGTGTGTGTGTGTGTGTGTGTGAACTTTCAGCTCATAGTACCCAGATAACTTCCAGAACCAAGTATCGATGAGTCTTCCAAATGGAGTGCTGATGTAATTTGTCATAGGCCCCCACTAAACACCACTCCGCCCCCCACATCCACATCCACTTTAACCCACTTCTCTATGTGGGGTCCTCTAGCATCAGCAAGAAATTGGTTCTCACCAATGAAGCCTGGTCACAGAAAACTTCCATGTCTCCTCTCTTCAACCTTTTACATGCTCCCTTGCATTTGGAGTCCTTTGTCTACCTCTTTGATATTTGATATTGAAAAAAACCTTCAGTGTTGTCATCTGTTGCAATTCCTCAGCTATTGTCTTTGGTGCCCTAGCTTAGAGGCTCAATTCTAGAGGTACTGCTGGTCTCTCACTTCCATCCCACACTAGACTCTGCCACAGGTCTTCACTGGAGACCTATTTTGACAGGGCACCAGAGATGCCCACTGGTGCTCCTTGTGGCACAATGAATTCTCTCAGGACACAGGCCAGTAGCCTTTCCATAGGCTTCAGTCCAAATTGAAGGAATCCTGGTCTGGGGCCAGCCTAAAAACTATAGTTCGTGGAAGAGTGACAACCCAATAGATATGTCCGCACATATGGCCTTCCTCAGAAAAGAGGTCTTTGCAAACGTAAGGATGTCAAGATGAGATCATCATTCGGGCAATTCCAAATCCAGACAATTGTCCTCAATAAGGGGAGGAGAGGCAATGTGAAAATGGAGGCAGAGACAGGAGTGAAAGACAGCAACAAGACCAGGAAGGGCACAGTTTTCCAATAGCCCCCAGAAGCCAGGAAAGAGGTTTAGGAAAGGAATCTCTTTCAGGGCCTCCAGGAGGAAGCAACCCCACCTTCACCTTGATCTCATATTTCTGGTCTCCAGACTGGGGAGATGATTGATCAATTTCCGTTGTTTTCAGCCACTCAGTTTGTGGTAATTTGATATAGTAGCCCTAGGAAACTAATCAAAGAGCAACTGCCACCGGTGTTCCTCTTTGGCAGGGTTTTCCCCTCCCCCCTAGAGGGTCTCTTTCTCTATCTCTGCCCCTGTTTTTCATGTTGCTAGGAAGAACTATACGAGTTAGCTGCCCTATCAACTTCATAGATGTGTCACACACAGCCTTTGGCATGTGTGCTTAGTGAATATGACTCTGTGAATTCTTTTCCTCAGCATCTCCAGCCCCACCCCCAACCCCAATCAATGTTCTCTTCTCATGAGTAGTCTCCTCTAACTCCAACCTCATGTCCTTCCCACATACCCAAGGTTCATGTGACTCCACCAAGTGGCCAGAGGTCTAGTGTCCATTAAAGCAACCAACAGATTCACTGGAGCCCTGTTAGGTGATGGACATTGGGACATAAGGACAAACAGGGAAGACTGTTGTCTACCCTTAAGCAGATCTCAATGAACGGGTCTTCTGCTTCAGGCCCTAGGGGACACAGCCTGAGGCTGAGAATCTGATGCTTTCTCCTCAATAGGAAACCATCAGTCCATGACCATACCCCTTCCTATCAGCCATCAGCTGAGTAGACTCAACATTTTAACCATTCAAAAACACTGATAGCTGGGAAACCAGCATAGGGCTGATCCAGACCCCTTGAATGTGGATGTCAGTGAGGAGGCTTCAGCAATCTATGGGACCTCTGGTAGTAGATCAGTATTTATCCCTAGTATACGAATGGTCTGTGGGAGCCCATTCCACACAGAGGAATACTCTCTCAGCCTAGACACAAGAGGGAGGGTCAAGGCCCTGCTCCAAATGATATGACAGACTTTGAAGATTCCCGAATGGAAGGTCTCACCTTCCCTGGGAGCAGAAAGGGAATGGGATAGGGGGTGGGGGGCAGGGGAGGGAGAGGGAGCTGGGATTGACATGTAAAACAAGCTTGTTTTTAATTCAAATTTTAAAAAGGAAAAAAAAACTAAAGGTGAACCTGGAGATGGCAGCTCATACCTATAATTTCAGCACTCAGATGCAGAGATGGGTACAAATTTGAAGCTATTTTGAGCTATGTAGTGAGTTAGAGGCCAACCTAAGTTATAACATCTGGCTTTCTTTTGTTTTGTTTTGTTTTTTTTTTAAGTACATTCAGGGATAGATCAATAGTTGAGGGCACTTACTGCTTTTCCCCAGCACCCAGTTTCAGCTCTCAGCGTCTACGTGGCAGTTGCTAAATGTGTATAACTACAGTTCTAGGGGATCCAGCACCCTCTTCTGGTCTACGAGAGCACCAGGCATGCATGTGGTGCATGTAGGCAAAACACTCATACACATAAAAATAAACAACGTTTTAAGTCATTATGAATTCTAAACCCTCCTCCCCCAAAGAAAATTAGGAACTTATAAAGTGCATGGAACTCCAAAAGGATATTCTAAAAGGCTGTTTGGGTGACTTGTGGCTTCTCAAATTATTCTATTAAAGTGCTGGCCCCCAGAACGTCAGCGTGTGGCCACATGTGAAAATCGAATTGATGATGATTGTTCTAGCTAGTTGTATATCAACTTGATAGAAGCTAGAGTCATCTGAAAATAGAGTACCTCAACCGAGAAATGACTCTATAAGATGGAGCTATGGGGCTTTTCTTAATTAGTGATCAATGGGAAAGGGCCCAGTCTATTGCGGGTGGTGCCATCCCTGGGCAAGTGGTCCTGGGTTCTATAAGAAAGCAGACTGAGCAAGCCATGGGGAGCAAGCCAGTAAGCAGCAGCCCTCCATGGCCTCTGCATCTGCTCTTGCCTCCAGGTTCCTGCCCCGAGTGAGTTCCTGTCTTCACTGCTTTTGATCATGAACTGTTATATGGAACTGTGAGTGAAGTAAACCCTTTCCTCCCCAAGTTGCTTGTGACTGTGGTGTTTCATCACAGCAATAGTAACTCCAAGACAATGATCAAGTGAAGATGAAGTGGGCCCTCATCCAGCATATCTACTGCTCATTTCAAACAGAAAAATTTGTTCACAGATACATTCTAGAGGGGAGACAATGAGAAAATGCAACCATGTCCATCTTCAAGCCAATGAGAAAGGCCTAGAACAGATTCTCATAACCAAAAAAGGATCCAACCCTACCAAAGTCCCGATTTTGTAGCTCTGGCTTCCAGAACAATGAAATATGTCTACACCCAAGCTGTGGTACATTTTGTTACAGCAGTTTTAGCAGACAAATACGTTGATTGTTGGTTGTGGTAATGAGACTAAAGGGGCCTCTATTCCTGGGTGACCATCAAAAAAGAAAGAAAGAAAGGAAGGAAGGAAGAGAGAGAGAGAGAAAGAAAGAAAGAAAGAAAGAAAGAAAGAAAAGAAGCCCAGGTGTCCCTGAAGTGGACTCTCCTAAGCATCATGTGTTTGCAAACTCCCTCAGCTTGAGACTCTGGCATACCTGGTTTCACATCTGGGCTAGTCAATTTGGCAGCTGTAGGATTCAACCTAGATTCTGAGCTTCCTCCCTTGAAGAAAATGGAAACACAACATGCTTCACAAGGTTGAGAGGATAAAATGCAGCCGACCCAGGCCTAGGTCACAAGAAGTTCCCTCTGTGGACTATCTTGGGATGGATTCCCCAAAAATCAGATCCTGAATAAGGATTTGAGTGCAAGTAATTTCTTTGGGAAAGGTCTGCAGGGGCATTCATTAGATAATTATTTAAGTAGTACAAGGGCTGGGGATGGCTCAGTCAGTAAAGTGTTTGGCATGCAAGCTTAGAGACCTGAGTTCATACCCCCAGCACCCACATAAAAAACCAAGCACTTACAACCCCAATGCTTGGGAAATGGACAGTATGATTCCTAGAGCTCACTGGCCACAGGCTAGCAAAATCAATGAGCTCCAGTTTCAGACTCTAAAGAAATAAGGAAAAGTAGAGAGTAGTTGAGGAAGACACGTGACATAAACCTCTGTCCTTCATACATATGCATCTACACACAGGCATGTACACATATGCGTGGGCACGCACACGTGAGCGCATGAACACACACACACACACACACACACAGAGAGAGAGAGAGAGAGAGAGAGAGAGAGAGAGAGAGAGAGAGAGAACATATACAATAAAGAAAGAAAATATAAATGACACAAGGTAAGAAAGGGTGAAAGGGGGCATATTATGAAGCCCCTTAGAGCAATGACAAGAATTTAATCCCACAAGGAAACAGACCAAGAGTATAGATCAGTGCCTAGGAGTTACCCAGCCTGTAGGGTGTAGACACTGGGATAATTACCAACCTGTACCCATCAGGCATCAGCTGCTCTTGAAGCAGTGTAGAATCCCTCGTGCTCTTGTAATATGTTCCCCCTGAACTTTGAGGCTTAAAATGACACAAACGTGTTAGCTCCTAGATGTCAGAAGAGCAAAATGAATCAGCAAGGCTGTGTTCCTTCTGGGGACTCCAGCGGAGAATCCATTTCCTTGCCTTTCCCTGCTTCCAAAGGTCACCCGCATACTTTGGCTCTTGGCCTATGTGCTAGTCAGCTTTCTATCACTATGACAAAATATCTGAGATAATTTTCTTATAAAGAAAAAAGATTTATCTTGGTTTGCAATTTAGGGCATTTCTGTCCAAGATCAGATGAGCCTCCAGTGAGTGTCCCGGGTGGTGATGGCAAGGAGTTTGTGGCAAAACAGAGTCCACCTCATGAGCAGGAAGCAGAAGGAATCCCAAAGGAGTTCCCACTGGGCCTCACTTCTTAAAAGTGCATGTTTCACCTCCCAAGAATGCTGTGCCGGGGTCCAAACTTTTAACACTGAGAGCCTTTGGGCAGGTGACACATGCAACCCAGAGCAGGCCCACATCACTCTGATCTGTGGTACTATTGTCACAGGTCCTTTTCTGCTTCCATAGTCACAATGTATGCTGAGTCTGGCTCTCCTGTCTCCTTCTTATGAGTCTACTCCTAGCTGAGGCTGTAGCCCTGTTGGTAGAGTACCTGTGTAGCATGCACAAAGTCCTGGGTTCGATCTGCAGCACCTTATAAAATCAGACAAGGTTGTACATGCCTGTAATCCAAGCACTCAGGAGGAGCCTGCAGGAGGAATCAGAAATTCAAAGTCATCTTTGGTTACTAAGGAGTTCAAGACCAGCTTGAGTTACATAAGATCCTGTGCTTAAATTTTGTTTTAAATAAATTCCCACTTGGATAATCTGGTATGAGCTCCCCCTGTATCAGGAGCCTTATTTAGTCACATTTGCAAATCTCTTCTACCATCAATTACCAAAATCACAGGTCTCAAGACTAGGACATGCATATTCCTGGGGACTATTATTTGGTTTACCTCAGCAGATCTTTCAGGCCTAGTCCACACAAGAAGAACACCTTTCAGGCTGGGAGAAGGACTCCAAGCCAGACCCCAATGCATGGAAAGAGTGGCTGAGTGTGAGCAGGGGAGTGATACCAGGAAGCAGAGCTACTGGTGACAGTACAGAAGAGTGAAAGCTCACAGGACATCTGACCTGGCAGAGCACATGGCATAGCCAGAAGCCTCAGAACTCAGAGCAAAGGGAATCCATTTGTTAGAACAATCAGCTCCTAAACAGACTGTATCCTTGAGGGAATAAGGGCATGATAGGGAGAGTGTGTACGGTTGTTTCCACCTTGAAGCCGAGGAAACTGAGGCTAGTAAGTTGCCCTCTGTCACACAGTATAGCAGGGAAGACTTTCTCTTGAATCTCCTTGCTAATGCATTACCAAAGGCTCCCACCCCCTGCCCCTCCCACTAGCTACAGCACAGCTTGGAACCGTTTGGAAGGAGCCAGGCCTATGGCCACACGTGAGAAGATGCCAGTCTCTCAGTCATATAATCTACCTCTGTGCCTTGGAGTGCCTGGCTGAGCTGCTGGAACGGAGAGGGGCCCAGCAGGACTGTTGATGAATTCGATTGCTTTCCCAGAAGTTTAAAAATGTAGCTACTGTGGCTGAGCATTGTTTATAATCTATCTCTGGTAATTTGCCTCCTACGTGTGTACATGTGAGATCCGTTGCCAAATCCTGTTGATCATTCCTCCCCAATCTCTCACTCCCCCATCTGTCGCCTCTTTTTCCTTCCCTCCTAACTCTTAGCTTCCTCAACTCCCAGTTTGTGGTATCCCTATGTCCTGAGTGTCCCTTCATGCTTTGGACATCCTGCTTCCTAATGAACTCCAGCTGAGACCATTATGGGATCGGTTGTTAGAGCCCCATCCACACTCCTCCATATACCTTTCCTGTTCGTTGTGCTCTGGCAGACTTTCGGCTGCCAGCATCCATATCTTTTCTCATGAAGCGTTTTTGTTTTGTTTTGTTTCAGAATGACAAACTGGAAGTGTCAAGGAAATAATGCACTCAAAAAACAACCCCCAACAATGATGGGCGAGGGGGGCCAATGCCCCCACTCCCTGTTGCTTCATTGAGACAACTGAGTTGCACACTACACATTGTCTCCCAGAATTTTCCGTAGGATTGAGTTCCTGTGGCCCACAGCAGTGGCAGGTTCAGTAACTCCCTTTGCATCTGCCTTCCCTGTCTTGCTTCTCCACCTGCCCATCCCTGCTCCACTAGGTCCTGTCACCATTGTCCAAGAAAACTTCCGAGCCTGAGTACATATGTTGGATCTACTTCAGGAGACATTGGGCTCAAGTTACTGGTTTACGTATCTGCATAGCAACTGGTCAGGAATGTTTTTCCACACCCTCCTCAGCCTGATAGCCAAGGCTTTCCAAGGCTGCTTCCAGCCCATTCTGCCACTAGAACTTCACTTCTTTATCAAGCCTGTGACAGAAGTCAAGGAAGTCTGCTGATGGTCTTCCTGGTTTTGAATGAATGTGATTTTTGGTGTCTCTCTGGCCTGTAGTTCCACCCTCCTTTTCTTAACCATGTTTCCTCTAGCCTATAAAAATCACTGTAGAGGTGTCAATGAAACAAAAGGGAACAGTATGGATCATTGTTGACTAAGGTTGGACCTGTGGGGGCTCATTATGCTGTTCTGCTTACTTGGTAGACATCTGACATGTTCTATACAGCACAAAGCTATAAAATTGTTCTTGTCCCTCTCCTAGTTCTCCACTTCCCTACTGTGCTGTAGGAGTCTCCCCTCAAATGAAACTCTTACACACCAATCCTCTCTTCAGTGCACCCAGTCTTGGGCATTACTACCAGGAAAACATCACTTCTTCCCACACCTAGAAGTGAAGTCCTCCTCCCCTGGGTCTCCAGAGCACATCAACTGGACTCTGGAGATTCAGGATAAGCTCCTTAGAAATGGTTGGAATGATAGCAGGATGCAACCTGGCAAAGAAATTAACAATAGAGCTAGGAGGAACGGAGGCCAGAATCACTTCAAATGGATGTATTGAATCTGACTGGGCCATGTTTCAGCGTTCCTTCAGTACAGACTGTCCCCTCTTCAGAGAGCCTTTTTTATGAATCACTATATAGATGCCTCGTGCTGACTGACCAGAGGTAGACACCTGCATCACAAAGCTTTTTTTTTTTTCACATGAAGTGAGTGGAGAATACCTAAGGGTCCAGATACAAGGGACTAGGAAGGATGAGGAATAGAAGGAGAGTCCAAGACTGACGTGGTGGTATTGGGTATGCCAAGTGACCAGTCTCAAGCTCCCACATAGGCCCGGGAGATAACAGAAGTTCTCTTTGGAGTACTGCTGTCTCCTAGAGTCTAGACTCCAAGATCCATGGCCCGAGGACTGTCAATTAAGATGTCAGGAGCCATCACGCATCATGAGAGAACGGACAACTTAAGCAAGAATCTTGGACAATGAACCACCCACCAGTCAGCTCCATGCCTCTTCCCTCCAGTTTCTAGTCTTCAGAGTCCCAAGGAGTGGGCTTGATAGGTTGCTCAGTGGGTACAATGCCTGATGTGGAAGCACAAAGACCTGAAGACACTTGGCATTGACCTCTGCCTCAGAGAGAGAGAGAGAGAGAGAGAGAGAGAGAGAGAGAGAGAGAGAGAGGTGTCCCAGGGACTCCTCATACAGCTCATGGAAAAATAAAGAAACACCCCAGAGAGGCTTCCAAGTCAATCTAATATAGTCTTATGAAATTTCTTACCTTCAAGAGGTGTGAAAAGGAAACACTTGTATGAACTTAACTCTTGATGTCATGGGTGGGATTGACTTCTACGGATAAGCTGGAAAAGGCCATGTAACTTGTGCTGTTTTCAGACATCAATTTTGGAGGTGTGAGGCTGCATGTAGAAGTAATGCTGCCCAGTAAGGTATCCATGCTGCACATACCACATGGAAAGACCACGACGAAATATAGAGGGATGTAAGCCTGTAGGTCAAAGGACACAAAACCAGTTAGACAGTAAGTTCAAGAGATCTGTTGTATATTATGATGACTATAGGTAACAACATTGTGCTGTGTATTTGAAATTTTCTAGGAAGGTAGCTATTAATTGTTAACACCACAAAAATGATAAATATGTGAAGTAGTTAAATTGACTTAGTCATTCTATAATTGCTATGGTTGGAATATGCCTTTCAAAGTTCACCATTCAAAACTTAATCACCAATGAAACAGTGTTGAGAAATTGGATGTCATGACTGGATTAATGTTGTTATTTATAGAATGGGCTCATTAGTACAAGAGCAAGCTTTACAAACACACACACACATACAGTTTTGTCTTTTTTCTTTTCATCATAAGATAACACAGCAAGGAAGTCCTTACCAGATGCAAATTCTTCATCCTTGGACTTCCCACTCTCCAGAACTAGAAGAAATAAATCCCTATCATTTATAAATAAGCCAGTCTCAGACATTCTATTACAGCAACACCAAACAAATGAAGACAATAACATGTGCATATATCAAGGCAGTATATTGGATATCATAAATATACCTAATTTCCACTTAGTAATTAAAAATAAATAGTCTAATTAAAACAGATAAAAATAAAAATATCCCAAAGGAGTCCCTTTTTCCAGACTGAGATATATAAGCAACGGCCAGAATCACTCACCAAAAATGTGAGCAAACAGGCCTCCAAATAACTCATCCCTCAGCTTCTGTGCTAGTCCTGCTAAATCTGAGGGAAACAGAAGTCTGTCCCCACAGAGCTTTGCCCAAATTGTATATTGGTTTTGTGATGGTTTATAACATGGTAATAAGTAACCAGAACAACCATCCTCACCCCTGAAAATTGTATGGTTGCTAAAGTCTCAAAGCCAGCTCCAACTGTGGCAGAGATGACCCTGTATCTGCTGATCCCTAGTTCACTTCCTCTCTGGGCTCACAGGAAGACTACACTTCCCAGCAGCTTTAGAGTCAGGAGGTCCAAGTCACTGAGTTCTGGACAATATAATCTGGACAGACTGAGATATGATCTCCAAAGCTTTCTATGAGGCCAGCCTGATCTACATAGCCAGTCCCAGGATGGCCAAAACTACACAGTGAAACCTCGTCTCAAAAACAAACAAAAGGACAGTGGAGGATTCTTAGATTCTAGAATATGGAAGGAGCATAGGCTTCCGAACCGTGTCATAAAAAATAAGATGCTAATATCTGGCCACCGATATTTAAGGGCTATTTGTTATAGCAGCTTGCCTTCCCTAAGTAATTCATACTTATTTTCATCTCCAGAGAACTATATGGAGGTGGGCAGGGAGAACACTGTTGACCTTTCCCCTTCTATCTTCTGCCTATATTTAAAACTATTAATGTTTCTCTCTTAACTTCTTCACTAGACTATCAAGTTCCTTAGGGCAAATAATATCCCTGAGTCACTGGATATCTTTCACAACTTAGCATGGCTCCCTTCATGTTGTACAAGCTCAATTGTCACCAACATACTGGCTGGTATCTATAGGGGGGGCTGTGTAAATTCTATTTCTATGTATTTGGCTCTATTCCATAACATCATGAAGTAGTCATTTCTGCCTCTAACTTAAGAAATTGGGGATGACTCAAGTTAAGTCATTTCCCCAAGGCTTCCCAGTCAGTGCTGTCTGACTCCAAAGCCCACATTCGTCATCACCATCACCCCCTCTGAGCTCCATACAAGGTGTTGGCACATGCCCATCCAATGTTCAGGAACCATACGATAAAAGTCAACCCAATCAAGAGTTTCAAGCCGTTTTGCTTTTTCTGCTCACATGAAAGGGTAGAACACCAAGACTAAGGGTTATCCCATCACAGTCACAGAATACGCAAGCCTGCTCAGGCCCTAGCCACACAACAGCTGCAGCAGGATGTTTTCCCAACATGCCCAGTGTATCCAGGAAGCTCCAGCTGCTTCCTATACCCTCCAAACAGCCAGCCCAGCAAGCCTCGGGGCTGATAAGGGAACCACCAACCAAGGCATACAGAGGTGGCCCCTACATATTCACCCATCACTATCCACACTTTCCCCAAGACGAGCCAACACTTTCTGCTGTGGTAATGTTAAGGTAAACCCATCAAGACAGAAAGTGAGCTTTTGGGGTGGTGGATACTTCATGGACATATGTATGCTTGGAGAGATTTGCTTGGGAAGAGCAACCCCTCACCAAAGATGTTCCTAGTTCTCATTTGCACACACAGTCTTCAAACATCAAAGTGTTTGTTAAGCATAAATATTTTTATTCGATCTCCTCTTCTGCTCCCTCGCCCCTTCCATCCAGGCTCCAAGCACAGTGAATGCCAGGAGACCCCCCTGACTCAGAGCCAGCAAGGAATGGGTTTTGGAAAAGGGCACTTCCAGGTCCCAGCGGGCAGCCAGCAGCTGAGCCTGACAGCCGCCAGGGACTTGGCTCCCAGCAGCAGGCTCCTAGCTTGGCGCCTGTTTCCATAGAAACAGGCGGGCCAGATCCGTGGCCATGGAAGCTGTTCAAATGCTCCCTGGGTATTCCGGCCCCACCCTAGCCTGCCATGTCTGCAGAGGGGAGATGAGGGCTTCTCCCAACACTGAATTCGGGGGCAACAGTGCATCTGAGATAGCACCTTGCTTGGAGCAGTTATTAACCTCCAGTGTCCCCTCCTTCCTTCACTAGGTACTCTATGCACAGTTTAGCTTTCCCGTAGTGCTCACCAGCCTGGCAGAGGATCTAGAGCCCATCCGGAGAGCCCAGGTGGGGTCATGCTCAGAGGAGGCACTGAGCCACCAGGGGCAGCCACTCGTTCTCATCCACGAAAACCCTGTGATTAAGTACCTCTTGGCTCCACGGTTTCCTGTGCCCTGTAGGTCAAATTGTGCTCTGCCTCTTCATTTCCCTGCTCCCCCTGTGCTGTGCATCACTCATTAAACAGAAACCTTAAACAGAAGCTTTCTGGGGCTCCAAAGTGAGTGCCTTACAACTCTACTGGAGAGCATTGAGAATGAGCACACGGCTTGTGGCCTTGCTCTCCAGGCTGATTTCTGCTGCCAGCCATTTCCTCGGCCCCTACTTGGAGGTGCACCTCTAGGGATGTTCTTTGACGCCAGTTCAGGTTCTGCCTGTCGCCTTACTCTGAACCCTAGTCTCCTGCTATAGATCTTCTGGACATTGTGAGGCTTGTTGCAGCCTCCTGCAGAAGGGGCCGACTGAGATGGGTTTTGATCCAAGCTCTGCAAAGTTCAAAGGGTGCCCTGGGAGAAACCTGGGCTTTGCCAATGGGGCTGGGGAGAATGAAAACCCTGCTCAGAACACCAGGTTGAAATGCCAGGCCATCAGCAAGAACCAAACAGCTCTTAAGGCGGGAGGACACTCAGAACTATTGATCACGGATGCTCAGACTACATCTATAATTAGACCCAGAAAGCTGCTTGCACATCAGAAACAGAAAGACATGACCGAGGCTGCTGCACTCAAGTCAGATATGCATCAAGATTTCAAAAACAAACAAACAAAACGCCCACAGTGCTAAATGCCCTATGCTGTTAATTCTGCTCTCTAAAAGGTCCCGTGTGAGTCACACACTTCAGTCCTAGAAGGGACAGCCAGGTGTTATAATGACCTGCTCAGAAGGCAGCAACAGTTGACTTTAGGGGTTGATACCAGCTAGACCTCCAGGTTCTCTGATGGCCATGACCTCCCAGACCAAGGCAGTCCAACAGCTGGTGCCCTGGCAAGCCAGCAAGCCTCATTGCGTTGAGAAGTTTCATTTACTTTTTGCATTATTAAAGTCGGCAGGAAAAGGCTCTATTTCTGGGCATTTTGTGGCATTTGTTCCTTCTTTTGTATAATGAATCTGATTTGGGAACTATAGCTAAAATTTGGAGGGGGAGAGTCCATTAGAAAGAAATACTGTTTGTTGGGGCCATGGAATGCTTGTGGCAAATTGCCCTTCCTAAGTGCTGTTTTTTGAAAACTCATTCCTGCGGTAGGAAAATAAAGCAGATTTCAAACACTTAAGAGATCATTTTCGGAATGGTCTAGATGCGCGCTGGTGCGCTGGTACATTTGCCTCTCATTGTTTTTTAATCACTATTTTGTCAAGTTTAATTGCTGCCATGCTAACAACCCAAACGGGAATGAAACAAAATAGGGGCTATCTATCATTGGTGAGAGCATTTTGATGGGATCCATATCCATTTGCATCTTCTCCGCCAAATTAGGAAAAAAAAAAAAAAAAGGAAAACAGAAAAGGTTTTCTCCGTCGCTGGTAAAGGATCACTCTCATTGGTCTGTGTGAGGAAATTCCCAGGGTACCAGGCAAATTGAACAACCTCCTACACAGCAGCTCAGCCTCTTAGAAACTACTGGGATCTGGCGTTTTCTCGACTGGATTTCCCTTCGAGGAGGATTGTGAACACTTACAAGTTGCAAGGAAGTGAGAGCCTTGAATGCAGAGACACCTTGCCTTAATTATGCACAGGGTGCCAGGAGCACCTTGTGGCTCCTATGACAGACACGGAGAGGCATCAGTCAGAGCCCCTTCAGGAAAGCACTTTGTGCCAGCTGCTTCAAACTCAGCTGCCTGACAGCCTGCAGCTGCTGGCTTGAACAGAGCAGGCCTTGGCTTTTGGGCTGAGGTCCTTTCATTTCTCTCAGGGTGGTCCACCACCACTGACTGAACAAGGCCATTCTACTCAGGGCTGGCCATTTCTGCCCAACATCAGGCTCTTCTGACGGTTACCCTTTGCTCCCAGCTACTGCTGGACCAGCGGCAACTTTTTAGATCCACATTGCAGCTGGAATCATCCTGTCTACTATTGCCTCCTCCCCCACCACCCACGTGCTACTGCCAGATTATTAGTTTGTACCCAGTGTCATTCAGTCCTTCTTGGGGACCACTTGGGGACTAAATCATCTCCCAAATCAGCACCTCCATTTCAGCACCTGCTTCCATGAGAATCTACCCTAACACTGACATTTCTTCATTAGATTTCCACTTCCCATGGCCTTTTGGTGACCATTTTGTGACAGTGCACTGGGTACATTGCTGACTACCAGAAACACTTAGGGCTGGAGTTAGTGACAAAGAAAACGCCAGGCAGCTGTTAGTAGTGGATGGAGGGGACATCCAGTGGGTCTTTCTGACAAAATCTGTTTCTAATGAGTTTCTGGAATGATAGGTATAGGATTTACCTCTGGTAACATGAAAAATGCAAAGAATCCAGAGGGCTGGTGTTTCTCCACCAGGTCCAGATGCTGACGTGAAGCTCAGCTCTGGGCACAGGACTAGGGCCTGTGCCCCAACATGGCTTGGGCTTGTTGTCTCTCACAGGCTTCCTCCCCCCCCACCCCGCACACAAGCATACTACCCATCAGCTCTTTTAAGGCTAAGAGTGCCTATTTGCTCACCACTCCAGGGCCTAGAACCATGGCAGGCACAGGACTGTTGTTCCGTGAATCCTTGGTGAACGAAAAAAATGAATGAGTAAATGAATGAGTGAATGAATGAATGAATGAATGAATGAATGAGCCTCATAAACACCATTCATTCTTGGGACCATCACCTCAATGCTCCTCCATGACCTTGAGGGTAAACTACAAACTCCTTCACATAATGAACAAAAACCTCCACTACCTGGCCTCTGGGAACCCCCTCCTCCACCAATAGCTCAGAATTGGCACAAGGGCTTGGTCCTGCTCAAGCTTACTTAGCAATAGCTGTGTCCCTGCAACTTTGTGGTAGACAATGTCAACCCATGCTGAGATTTCCTATTGCATTTGCCTTTAAACCCCAGGTCCTCAGACAAAAGAAAACAAACAGAATTCTTTCCTTGGGCCTCCTGGGAGGCAGGCCTTGGCTAGGGCTCTCAGAAGCCTAGCTCTGAAGCCCTGTAGTAAGAATACCTCTCATTTTATAGATCCCACTACTCTAAAGCATCTATGTTAGCTAATAGAGGCCCTATCCCATTTCCCTAACATAGGATGATTCTTCTACAGTCAAGGAA